AAGCCATACATATCCTACCATGTTGAATACCCTTCAGAATAGACCTACTTAAAGTTGTAGTTTTTATCAATGTTTAAAAGAGTATAAGTGGGCAGTTAAAATTTTCTCTTAAAAATTGTTGTTGATCTTAAAAGAAATTTGGTTAAAAAAAAAAAAAAAGCAACTTTCCTTCCCTATTAAAAAAAAGTCACAATCAGTACCAGCAGGTGATATGGTGGTTAAGGTGCTGAACTCCCAAATGGCTGGCCACAGTTCAAGTCTTGGACCTGGCAGCTTGAAAATTACACCAGGTATGTGTGTATGCATGCCTAGAATCCAAGGAGGAGAAAGAAAGAGAAGGAATTACAGCATGCTCATCCCCCCAGAGGGGGGTGATTTCTCACTTTCCCTATTACTGTCTTTCTGTCTCTCTCTGGCAAGCACAAGCACCCTATGGTAGAAAACTAAAAGATATATATTTTTTAATGAAAAAATTAAAAAGTCACAATCAATTTCTAGTTAGAAACTACCAACATTCTTAGATTTATTCCAGATTGTGATTTTGTATTTGCTGCAAAAATTGAAAAAAAAAATGCTCTTAGAACCTTGAAAGAATAGTGGAAGAAATTTTTGTTTTTAAAGTTAAGTCATTTTTTTTTTAATGTTTGTCTACATACTGGAAAACTAGGTTGTCCCATACTGACATTTATTGGTAAATATCTAAATAATGTATCAGTAAACTTTGATACTACAAAATTGATCCTTAATATTAGTAATTTGTAATTTTGATACATGAAAACCAAGGAAATCGTGTCTCCAAATGTAAAGATTTTATAAATCATATGACTTATATTTTTGGAAAGAATAAATTGCTAGTATTTCTAGAAACAAAATGAAAAGTAATATAGATCTATAGTAACTGAGCCATGTAAATCTAGAGTTTTATTTTGACCACATGCGTTCAATTAATTCCTATGAAGTTTCCTCAACTAAAGAGCATCTCTGAATATTAGAAGTATAAATATCTGAGATAAATTGCCATATTTTATTTTTTGTGTCTTAATAAGCTCAAGGTAATATTCACTTGGAAAGAAAATTCAGGGTCCTGATCTCCTCTCGAAATATTAAATAACAGGGCCAGCAGATGACATAGAGGTTACATTGCTGGACTCCCATATTGCCGACTGTGATTTGAGTCCTGGACTCAGTTGATTGAAACTTATGCCGGTTGCATGTGCATGCATGTCCAAGATCCAGGGTGGAGAAAGGAGGAGAAGGGATTGCAGCATAACCATCCCCCTTGAGGAGTGATTTCTTACGTTCCTTCTCACTGTCTCCATCTCTCTCTTTGTCAAGTGTATGTGCCCTAAGGCAAAAACCACTACCAAAAAAAAAAAAAAACAAAAAAAAAGAAAGAAAAGAAAAATTAAATAACACTAACAAAGGACATGATTATTTTCCTTTATACAGATTTATTTTATAACGTGGGCATCAAAATTAGATTGCATTATCTTTTTTTATTATCTTCCTCATATTTTACTTTTCTCTCTCTAGCTATCTCCAAAATTCAACTTGTGAGGTATCTAAGTGATGACAAGACTGTAAGAGTCAAAGAGGTATCTCCAACTCTCAGTGACAAACAAGACTCACAGCCAAAGTTAAAGGAAAAGCACAACCACAATATTTCTCTGGACCCAGATAGGTTAATGATTAACAAGCATCACAGAAAACCCAGCCACAAAGTTACTGTCTTTAAGAGCCATTGCAAGGACTACACATACCTACAGAGTTTTCAGAGTTCTGAATCTCAGATGAATCCTATTCATCTCCTAAGTGGTGAGGATTACACCTCTGACATTTCAGCATCTGTCTGCCACCCAAATTCATTACTACCTAGGTTTGTTGCATACCCCAAAACTCACAGAAATAACACACATTCTTTGGACACAGGAGCTCAAATATGTCCCAAATGTTTGATGGAAATCAGTGACTCTCTTTTTCATAAGTGCCTCACAAATTCTGATCATGATTCAGACCCTGACTGTCCTTTACATGTCCAAATTCCCTTGGATTCTAAATATTCTCTGAGTTCCAAATATGTTAGATATCACAAGACTTCTAGAAACAGCCCTTTATCTCAATCCCTTGATCCTAAGCATCCTGTGGGTGTCCACTGTCCTCTACACTGGGAAGATTCTAAATATTCCTTGTGTTCAATTTATTTATATTGTGAAAGTTGCTCAGCTTTACAAAATCTCATAGGCTTATCTAGTACCTGTACCTTTCCCATGAATGCCCCCAATACCATGGACCACCATAGTATCTCTGGCCCAGACAGTGTCATCAATATCAGCAATGCTGTTGACCTTGAAAGTGAGAACAAATTCAATATTACTGCTAAACCCAAAAATGAAGCCAATCATGACAGTAAGATTAAACTAATCAGTGCTGACAATCTCAAAGATAAGGCCAATGCTGAAGATAAGCCTTTTCCCAGAGATGAACCTGACCAAGAAGATGAGCCAGATGCTAAAGAAGAGACAGATGCTGAAGATGAAACAAATTCTGAAGATGAAGACAACACCAAAGGGAAGAAAGATCCCAAAGATAAATCTGATCCTGATGACACTGATCCCAAAGATAGCAATGCTGAAAATAATGCAGATACCAACAATGGGTCTGATCCCAATGGCAATGCTGGTCCTACAAGTGGAACTGATTCTAATAGTGATGGTGACACTAACAATGGAACTGATCCCAGCAGTGAACCTGACCCAAATGTTGATAATTCCACTAACAATTATTCTAATTCCAAATATAGCACTGATCCTGAGGACACCACACACACCAACAATTCAGACAATGCTTTTGTCCTAGGCAATAATGTTGATCAGGATAATATTACTTACTCCAGTGATGACACTAATCCAAACTATATCTCTGGGCTCCAAAATGGAACTGACCTGGACTGTACTTCTGGTTCCAATGGTACTGGCCCTAACAATACCATTGAGCCAAACAATGAAATTTGTTACAACATTGTCCCTGGATCTCAGAATATCAAATTGGCCCCCAACCGCTTTGACCCCAACATCATTCCCAGCTCCAGTGACAAGGATTCTTTCCCCAAAAGAGAACATGACTTTAATGTTAGGCAGATTAATGCAACTAAACACAACAATGCTATTAGTCCTAACAATGATGCTGGTCCCAATTATGTTACAAGGTCCATCAGTACTGCTGACCACGACTATGCAGTGGTCCTGAATTATGACTCAGACCTTGTCTATATCCCAGGATTTACCCACACATTAGGTTCTAGCTTTGTAGTCAACCTGAACTATGATGGCAGACTCAACACTACAGCTAGCACTGTCAATACTACTGACACCAGCGATACCAGTAGTTCTCGTGGTGCTTTTAACCTTAACTATACTGCTGGTATGGACTATGGCTCAAACACAAACCATATTCCTAGATTTACTCATTTCATTGGCTTCAATTTTGTTCTAAACCTAAATTAAAAAGCCATAAATACTCAAAATGTCAATAATTCTACCAATACCAGCAATATTAATAGCATTCTCCCTGAGCCTGAATTGGAAATCAGTTCCAGTTCCTCTATGCCTAATATTATTTTTGGAAACACTCCCACTTTTTCTGCTGGCACCAATAATACTTCCACTCCTGACAATGTGACCACCTCTAAAGCTTTTAATGACTACCGATTTGGTGCTCACTTCAAAGACTTTGCTGGCTCCATGAACTCTGTTAGTTTTAAGTATGCCACTAAGTCCAAGGATGCCCTTGATGCCAAGGAATCTGGTTTTTTAAAAGCTTTCTCAAGGGTCCAGAGTCCCACTGGTATCAAGAATCCTGACATTTTAAACTTTCATTTCAATCCAAATATTTCACTCCCTAAACTTGGCATTATAGGAGAAGCTGAATCACCAGATGTTGTGAAGTTTGATATATCATCAGGTGCTATCAACCAGCTCATAAATACTCAAAATGTCAATAATTCTACCAATACCAGCAATATTAATAGCATTCTCCCTGAGCCTGAATTGGAAATCAGTTCCAGTTCCTCTATGCCTAATATTATTTTTGGAAACACTCCCACTTTTTCTGCTGGCACCAATAATACTTCCACTCCTGACAATGTGACCACCTCTAAAGCTTTTAATGACTACCGATTTGGTGCTCACTTCAAAGACTTTGCTGGCTCCATGAACTCTGTTAGTTTTAAGTATGCCACTAAGTCCAAGGATGCCCTTGATGCCAAGGAATCTGGTTTTTTAAAAGCTTTCTCAAGGGTCCAGAGTCCCACTGGTATCAAGAATCCTGACATTTTAAACTTTCATTTCAATCCAAATATTTCACTCCCTAAACTTGGCATTATAGGAGAAGCTGAATCACCAGATGTTGTGAAGTTTGATATATCATCAGGTGCTATCAACCAGCTTTTAAAGGTAAGTTTATATAAATGTAGATTTAAATTTTCCACTTCTATAATTGTGTTAGGTCATTGTACAGTGCTATGGAAGAGAGGAGATAAGATGTTCAGTATTACTTCTCTTTTGACCCCTAAAGCCTGCAGTAAGTTTTCCATTTGAAATATCCATCAAGTTTACAGTTGGCAATTAGTAAAATGTCCTTGACTCTACTGTGATTGACTAGTCTACTATTCTATCAAGGGTCGCATAGCTCATAAATGTAAACCTAGTCACAAACAACCTAGTCAATTTTTCCCTACCTTCTTTTGCCTCTACATGCCGTGGCGTTAGTTCCTTTCCTCTATGTGTAGAGAGTAAAGCCAAGCAATTATTTTTCCTGTCAAGATTGCTTTTATCTTAGTTGTAGTGGCTTTTTAAGAAAATCAAGCAAACCATTTAAAGACAACCATCCCTCAAAATTCTCATTTTAGTAAGAAGGTTGTCTGAAATAAATACATACAATTTTAGTTACTTTGTAAAATGATATTCAGGAGCAAAGAACTCCAAACATTTGCTACTCTTGACTTAAAACATGCTTTTTATTTTATCTCTCTGGAAAATAAGTAAAAGTATATTTATTATGAGTGTTACATCTTGATCAAATGTTTCCTCCAGCTCTATGAACTGCACGCACAAACAAGATAACTAAGACTGTTAATGTTCAATAAATTATTTCTGATAGCAGCAAGTAATATTCTTTTTGATAAAAATTTGCCAATGTGTTGTCATTGAGGCATAATTAAGTTAGTATGCATTGAATTTTAGCCTTGTTATACTGCATTAGTCATGGTAAATAAATAAATTTAATTTGAATTCTAGTGTATGTGTGCATAATTTTAACTTGAAATAATTACTTTTGTTTTCCACTAGAAAATATAATTAAATGTAACTATATATTTAGAATGAGTCATGCATGATCTTACAACCAAAGTTAAAGAACAAAACTGGTATCTCTTTAAACTATTACATTAATAGAGAACAATTTTGTGATTTTTCCAAGAGAGAATTCCTCCCTACAAGTAGTTATAACTACCTAGTATGGTTTTACATCTTTTCTTTATGTAAATTTAAGGGTAATGTAAGTTCATTATAAGTAATAAAAATTATATTGCTCAGATAAAAGCCTTAATATTAGAAAAAAGTATATTTCCCACAGTTGTTTCCTACAACTGAACATTTGCAATAGGGCAAAATCATTTAAAATATGTTTTATAACTTTGTGTTTCTCCCGAATATAGTTAAAAGTTTTAAGGAATTTAGCTATCGTTTTGTAGTTCAAATCATAGTACCTAAGAGCTTTGTTTCCTAACTGGTGGTGCGTAAAAAATTATGCTGATTTTAGAGGAAAACTACCTGAAAAGAAGCTTACTTTCACCTGAAAAATATTCAATTTTTTCAAGTAGAAAGTATTGATTCCCCAAAAATACAAACATAAAAATGAGCTCTTAATACAGTATCTAGTTGCATAAATACTATGTTCTGGGTACTTCCATTTCAACCTTTTGACCATGACTAGATAATGGAAAGATATACAACCTCTTTCATTATTTTCAAAGGCTAAGTCCAAAACTTCACAGTAAATTTATGATTAGCTTTGGGAAACAATGCATTCTGCATGCCTTCACCAACAAAGCATTTTCTGAAAGAATGGATGATTGCTTTCCATTAGAGTTTTGGAATTTCCATGTTCTCCTGATTTATTACATCCATGTTCATATGTCCATTACAAGCAACCGTAATGGAGAGGACAGGGGTGCTTTCTCATTTAGACAACTTTGGAAAGCAAAATGAGTTTACTTTAAAAGAAATAAAACTTTTAGGGTGTGGTTACACTCACCCTATGGTAAAAGAAATAAAACTTTTCTGTCAACCATTAATGAACTATAAACAATCAATTTAATATCAGAGTATTTTTAAGCCACTTACATATTTTCATTCCTTCCTTTTATAGGCATTTAGTAATTAAACATGTAGTAGACTCAAAAAATATAGACTAAATGAAAAGCATAGTTGCTTTCCTTTGAACTGCTCACAGTCTACTTAATAGAAAACGAATGGTCTAGCTTACTAATAAAGCTATTTTGAATCAAATGAAATGGCATCTCACTGAGTTTCCAGAATGTTTAAAAACATTTTAGATGTCCAGAACACAGGATGTCAACAATATACTTAAAGAAGGTGGAAATATGTGTGTGTAGATTATCATTCTGTTTCACTTTTAATAAATAACTAAATAAGGTCCTAATTTCTGAAATAAACTCATTGTAAAGGTTAATATTGACTTCCATGGATAGTGGTATTAGAGCTAAACTGCCAAATGCTTAGCGTCATTTAATAAGCTATCCAAAAGTTACCTAAATTCTTCAGAAACATCAAAATTTCATATTCAAGAGACAAGCTTAATTATCCTCTTAAAGTTAATTTCTTCAAATGACTTATTTATGAATAAAATTTAGTCAATGTTTTACTTAAGTTCTTGACAGTTTTCAACATACTTCAGAAGAATTTCATTTGTGTAATGCAAAGAGGTGGCCATTTCTTGCTCATGGTATATTTTTTGAAGACTGGGGATAATTCAGTTATGATACTGAAGAAAAAAGATATTTTCATGTAGAACAGTCTAGTACAAGCAGAGATTTATAAATGTGGAATTATATAGGCATTTCCATAAATAAAAACCTAAACATACTAATCAAATGTGTCCTCTTCTTTGCACCAATTTTTTTAAAAATTAGAAAATCTAATAATTGCTTCAAAAATAATCTGAAAATGTTTTTCTTTATATGTATCTGATATTTGAGGAAGCCTAGAGATAAGTCTTAACTTAGGAGATGCTAAAGCCACAAAATAATATCGACAAAAGGAAGATTGACTCAAGTGGCCAAAAGTTGTTTTGATTTCGTTTTAAAAGTGTTCTACCCAGGATGTCAGTTCCTTCCTGTTAATAACAGATACATATAGTCATAAAGCTATGTCACCTAAGTTTAATTCATCTGCTTAATATTCCTTGAAAATAAATCTTAGCAAAATTTAACATTAAGGTAGGTAAATATAGTATTCAGATACTCCAGATAATCAAAACAATGTCCTACAAAATAGTTTCTTGATTAAATATATTTACATACAGATAAAAATGTTCCATTTCTGGGATTTTAGGATGTGATGTGTTTTCTTACAGTAAAAGATATGTTTTCTACAGATGTTTAATCTAAGATACTACAAAATCATCTCCTATCCAAAGATACAGGCAACTTGTTCTAAGTCTATTGCTAAACTATGTTACTGGGATCATCTGTACACCATACCTTTCCATAAAGTCATTCTTACATATTTTTTCATAATACTAGAGTAGTGTTCAATTGAGATAGAATAAAATGAGTTTGGAATTCTTTTTGGAATAAATTAATCAAAAAATTTCAAACCAAATGTAACTAAATAAATACAATTGAGCAACTCCAAAAGTTCTCCCTGCTCACAATATTACCTGTACATTGTTCTCTGAATACTTTTGAAAAAAAAATTATTCATCTGATAAAAGATCATCATCTCAAATGTAATACAAGCTTTTCCCTCTGTCTACACTTCGTGTAGTTTTCTGAGCCAACTGCAAACCTACACATATTCAGGTGAAAATCCAACCAAGTTCGCGTACAGTTGCCCTAAGCTCAAAGGGAAGATGATCTTTGCTACTACTGTTCCTGTTGTGTAACATATGTGCCAGTGACCTCTGTTCCTGTTGTGTAACATATTTGCCAGTGACCTTCTTTCTGGAGGACTTTCAGAATCACATATTTTCTGTGATGACTCTAAGTTCTTCAGTCCAAGCCCCTCATATATATCAAAAAGATCAAAAATGCATCACATCTGGTCAGGTTAAAAAAATAAAAAGAGGCCAAGTCAACTTGAGACTAAAAATTGGTAGAGGGCAAATTAGAAGAATTTTAATACTGTTAACATTTTTTTTTTAAGTTTTGCTATAGAGCACATGCACTTGCCAGAGAAAGAAAGTGAAAAATGACTTTGACTATGCTACAGTCCCTTCTCCCTCATTATCCTGGGATTTGGGCACACATGCAGACCTACCTGGCATAATTTTTAACCTTCCAGACCCAGGATTCAAACCATGATCACCCATGTGGGAATCCAGTCTCTTAACCATCACACCACTTACTGACCCATAGCATCATAAATCTTAAATAATTTTATATCCCAAAAGAGGATTTCTCTAAAACTTTAAATCCCAGAAGTATTTGCTTCTATACAATGGTGCATTAATAGCTACAGAATCTGTGTTATCTGTCATGTTTTTCCAGCTTGAAATAAAGCTTTATCTGA